AGTCCTGTGGCGCCCCTCACCGGTGCCCTCGGCCCCTCCGAGCCCCGGGGGCCCGGGCGTTGCCCCTCGCTGGCTGCCTCCTCCCGGAGCACCCCTAAAGCCCGGCCAGAGCCCTGAGGGGAGAGCCCCTGCCCCGTGCTGGAGCCCGGCCAGGGCCAGGGCAGCACCCAGCTCCTTCCCTCCACCCTCCCGGGGGGTGTTCGGACACTTCCCCCAGCCCACCCGTGACCTCCGCGCCTGCACGGCAGCGGGCATTGAGCTTTCCACTTGCCACTATTCCTAATTTTTCCCTCTTACTCTCAGTGAGCCTCGTTAATAACAAAAAAAAAAAAAAAAGAACCCATAAGTTTATTTCTGTTCGCAGAATGATGAAGTCACGTACGTATCTATGCAGTAAGAGAGCTGATTTCCCAGCTTTTACGTGATGGTTGCTCAAAACGGGTTTGGCTGGATCCTGGGGGAAGAGATTTGGTAACCCTGAGCCTTACCTCATCGTTCTGTGTTACGGGCAGAGGCTGTCGCAACCTTCCCAGAGGGATATCGTTGGGATGTTTCACCCGGCCGAAAGGTAGAAGAGCCACGAGCAATTAGGACGACGCTGAAATCCCCGTCGGCTGTTTGGTACGTCCCTTTCCCTCCCGGTGGGAGCGCGCTGCTCCCGTGTTTCTCGTCTGGTTTTTGGTGCGTTCCCCCATTATTCCACCCCACATCTTAGAACCTGTGACGTGAACATCTGATGTTTGCTAAATGCTGTCAGGCAGCCCGAGTTACTTGGAGTAAGTCACGGATGTCGTGTAGAAAATCCATTTTTTTCCCCGGTTTTAGTAATATTTCACCAGTTTTTACAATCGCAAGCATCGGATCAAGTTCACCGCATACGAATAACGCCATCGCTTAACGATTTCTAAGCGTAGCAGCAGTAAGGGAGGGAAGCGATGGCACTGTGTGGCTAGAAAGGGAAACACATAGAAAGAAAATGCATCAAATGAGACGGGAGCTGAGGAACTGGGGAGGTGCTGAGGTGCGGGAAGACGCGGGTGGCCCCACCGGTGACCGTGGGCACGGTCGGATGGGAGCAGATGCGGAGGGGTTCGTTCGGCAGAAGGGGAATCTGGAATGGGTCGGTGCGGTGAGAGCCAGCTGGAGTCTGAGAGTCGGGGTGACGTCGCCCTGCTATCGAGTGGCTGTGAGTAGGTGTTCCCTTGACAAAACCGTCTGGCACACACAAGTAATCCTTCCAAATATGCTGCGAAAAGGAAAAAAAAAAAAAAAAAAGTCAGTTGCCAAAGCAGGGAGGAGTAGATACATTCTGTTTTCCTTCTCACTCTGCCCTCTGTCTCGCTGATTCTTTACAGCGCAGGGGAACCTCTCTGGCATAGCTCTTCCAAGCAGTTTAGCAAAGCTGGTTTTAAATCCCTAATAGGATTAGTACCTATTTGCAGTGGGCTTTAGAAAACCTCGACTTTATTTGGCTTCCTTTTCCCCCGTCCTAGGAGTCCGCAGCTCCTCTGGGAGGATGGACACCCTGAGGAACCGGACGGTGGAGGAGCTCCAGGAGCTGCAGGAGAACGCGGAGGAGATCGAGCGCCTGGCCCTGGAGTCCCAGGAGGTACGTGTGGACGGCGCGACGCCAGCAAGGAGCAGGCTGGGCTTCGTTAGCACCTCGCCCGCGGTGACCGCTGCGTCTCCTTCTGCAGGTTCAGGAGCTGCAGCTGGAAAGGGAGATGGCCCTTGCCTCCAACCGCAGCTTGGCCGAGCAGAACCTGAAGTTCCAGGCGCCGCTGGAGACGGGACGCACCGACCTCTCTAACAAATACGAAGAGCTGCAGAAGCTGGCTGAGCGCTGTAAAGAGCAAAAGGCAAAACTGGGTGAGCATTTGCAAACCCTGCACCCTTTCCGACGGAGTCACGTGGGCTGCAGTTAGTGCAACATCCTTCCCTTTTGCTGCTCCCTACCTTGGCCATACTGAGCAGAGAAACTCGTTCAGGTGGTGGCAGAAAGGACGCTCTGCGTGTAAGATCCATATTCTCCTGTTTCTTGGCCAAGCTGGGTTGGATGGATCAGGGATGTTGTCCCGGCAAAAAAAAAACCCTTCTTAGTGCAGCAGTGGCTGAGGTTCTGTCCTCTTCAGATTTTTCTCCTTGCACCGACAGTTTCCAAGGCAGGAAGGCAAGCCGGTGAAAGTGCAACAGGGTTGCGGGCTGATGATTTTTGTGTGTCATCCCCCACCCCCGGTTTGTGTTTAACTTTTTGCTCTGCTGCCCTCTTTGTTTCCCCAGAGAAATTTTCAGCAGCGATGCATCCTCAGACCTTGCTGGATCTCCTGCAGGTGGAAAGCCAGAAAATCGAAGAGGAGTCTGAGGTGAGCTTAAGGTTTAAATCCATCAGCAGTTCAAGTATTTAGTCCCTGAAGGCTTGCAGTTACACTCCCAAGCCTAATGCCTTAAATCAAGGATTAGCTCTTTGTAGTTTGGTGGTGTTGTTGCTCCAAAAAAATTGGATTGCCCTTTGTTTGCTTGTGTGTGGTGCAGTGGTCCCCTGCGCGTCTCTGATGGGGACGTAAATCCTGAGCTGGGCTGGGGAGGAAGAGCAGAGGGATGCAGTGCTGAACCCGAGGCTGTCTTCTTTTCCAGAAAATGGCTGAGAAGTTCCTGGAGGGCGAGGTGCCCCTGGAGACCTTTCTCGAGCAGTTTTCTGTGATGAGGAAGTTGTCCCACTTGCGCCGGGTCAGAGTTGAAAAGCTGCAGGAGATACTGAGGAAGTCGGAAGCGTCGCAGGAGCCTGGCAGGGACGCTCAGCAGCAGCCACCTCCTCACGTACCCGGGCCCGCAGACCCACCGAAGCCGCAGCCCTTCCCTCCAGGGGCTCCCGCCTTCCCTTTGCCCTACAGCCCTGCCCCAAGCATGCCGGTCGGCCCCACGGCCCATGGAGCTCTCCCTCCTGCTCCTTTCCCTGCCGCCCCAGTCACCGTGGGACACGTCGCTTCCCCTCAGCCGAGTGCCCAGCCCACCTTTCCCTATAAGCCCCCTCCGGGTCCCGGTTACCCCCCAGCGCAGGCTGCCGACTCCGCGCCGGGGTATCCCAAACCCCCCGACCGCAGAGCCCCTACCCAACCCAGCCCCCTCTCCCTAGTTTCCCAATCCCCCCGCAGCCTCCTTATCCTCCCAGACCGCCCCAACCCTTTGGGTACCCCCCTCCTCCAAACCCTCAGCGCCCTGCTTGGCCTGGCTACTAAGTCAGGACTCCTGAGGAGCGTCCTCTGCCGCTCCCTCCTCTTTTTGTGGACTGAGGAAGAAGAGCGAGCCGAGGGCGTTGCTCTTCGACCCGTCGGTGCGAAAGCATTACACAGGATAAGAGACTGTAGCGGCGCCGGGGGTCGGGCAGGCTGACGCTGCCCCCACGGGCTGCAATTCTAGGCCGGGTTTGTGACGGTGGCTGAAGCGTTCGCTTCCAAATCGGCTCGCCCAGGCTCTGGTGTGAAAGCCAGGCGGTCATCCAGGTCCTGGGGAGCGATTGTGCGCTGACGGCAGCCGGACCCCCTCGCCTGTGCGAGCGTGCGTGGGGGAGCGAGAGAGACTGCTCCGTGCCTCCC